GGTTCTCTGCCCTGTGAACGCCGGCTAATGGGACCATCTCAACACCCAACTGTTTGCTCAGATCAGAGACAGGCTGGGCTCCCCAGGCCCCGTGCCCTGTACTGTGGCCCAGAAACTCTCTGAAAGTACTTATATTACAAGTTTTTCTTGAGTAAATGCTTTTTTGGGGGGGGGAGCGGTAATTAGATTTATTTATTTATTTTATTTTTTAATGGAGGTACTGGGGATTGAACCCAGGACCCTGTGCATGCAAAGCACGTGCTCTACCACTGAGCTATCCCCTCTTCTGCCAAAAAATGCTTTTAAAAAGGAAATAATAAATACTGATTCATCCAGATGAATGGGATGTCCAGCAATGAGCTCAGGACTCACCCCTCTCTCCAAATGGCTAAAAACTTTCACTGCATGGATTTCCCCCCTTTTTAAACTTGCTTAAGTTAGTAAAGTACACCTGGACCCTGTGATTCTGTCTTCACCAGAAACAGCAAAAATCCACCTTTTACTTTGGCTTCATTAAGATCTCTTCATATTTGGGTGTTTAAAATATAAAGCTTTCTCTTTTTGTATTTGCTTTGTATTAAATACAAATATTTTCCCTGTTTTGTCATTTATCTTTTTGAATTGAAGTACAGTTGATTTACCATGTTTCAGGTGTATAGTAAAGTGATTCAGTTATATGTATATATATAATTATATATGTATATTCATATATATGTATATATATATAACTTTTTCAGATTCTTTTTCATTATAGGTTATTACAAGATATTGAATACAGTTCCCTGTGCTATCCAGTAGGTCCTTATTATTTATCTACTTTATATATAGCAGTAGGTATTTGTTAATGCCTGTCATATATCTTTTTAACCTAATTTTTCACTTTTATATTCTGTCATAAAGACCTTCAAAAATTTTTTCGTGTTCACATCTTTCACTTCCTACTTCTCATGTGTTGTGACCTTGTACTTGAGGAAGCCTTCCCCATCCTTCATTTCCTAAGTAGTTGCCTGTGTTTTCTCCTGTTTTCTTTCTTTTTTCTTTTTTGTCTCTTAACGTATCAATTTTATGGAGATAACTGGCACCCATCTTCAGGATTTGGAATCATTTTCCTCTCTCAATCATTTTTTCAAAACTAACACATCTACCACAACCAGGAAATGCAAAGGTTGAGGAAAAAAAAAACTGAAGTTTCTAATCTCATATAAAAGAACAGATTCTGCTCTGAAGTCTAGGGACAGTCTTGCCTTAAAGGCAGGGGAGATACTAATTGCAATATATAAAATAGATAAACAACAAGTTCCTACTGTACAGCATAGAGAACTACATTCAGTATTTTGTAGTAACCTTTAATGAAAAAGAATATGAAAAGGAATATATGTATGTATATTGTGACTGAAACATTATGCTGCACACCAGAAATTGACACCACGTTGTAAACTGCCTATACTTCACTTTAAAAAAAAGAAGCCACAAGCAGCAAACTTAATGGTAAAACATTAAATGTTTCCATTAAATGAGAGGCTCACTATTATCGCTACTGATCAAAATGTTTCTGAAGTCTCAGAACATCATTAATTAAGGAAAAGAAATAAAAGGGATCAATATTAAAATAAACAGCAAATTATCTTTATGTCCAGACTATATTTTTCTTTCTAGAAAATCCATAAAAACCAACTGAAATTAAAGTCGATAAAGTGACTCAATATAAGAAAAACAAAATAAGGCAAGGGAGGCCAGGAGTGCCAGGAAGCTGACCATCCTATCTGAATTCCTTCTTATTCAAAATACGGGGATCATATCCGTTTGTTGGGGCTAAGTCACAGAGGATGACAGACTGCGAGACTTAGACACAAACATGACCTGCCCGACAGGTCTGGAGACTGGAGATCAAGGTTTTGGTAGGGTTGGTCCCTCTGCAGGCTTTGGCGGAGGATGTGTTCCCGGTGTCCTGCGGGAAAGGGCGTTCCTTCACCAGCACATACACTAGGACTGTTCTAAGTGGGTGCTTCGGGTTTGCTTATTCACATCATCACCAAGCTGCTGGACGGGCTGTCTGGTGGACCCGCTGGCAGGAGGATTGGAGGCTGGCTCTGACGTCCCTCAGCCATGGACCCAAGGCCTGGCCACAGCCCTGCCATGCCCGACCCAGACGCTGGTTCACCTTCCTCCTGCTTATTTGATTTGATGGTGACACGCTTTCTTTAAGCTCCCCATCTCTCTAGCCTGGCTGGCACATCCCGCCCAGGGATTTCCAAACTGGAAGTGTGTCACTGGGAAAGTTACAATTCAGCCCTAGTTAGTGCTGTGGAACTGCAGTCTAGGAGGCTGGTCCAGGCATCTGCACTTCAATATTTTCTCCACTGATTCTCATGCAGGAGGGATTGCATTGACCAAACATTTCCTCTCGTGCTATTTCTGCAGAGCAGCTACGGCCATTGTTCTATAAGACTGCATCCGTGGGGGGAAGAGAGGAGAGTTTTCTTCCCTCCCCCCCTCCCCTCCCCCCCTCCTCCCAAACACATCAGAGTCAATCTGAGCTGCTTACTCCATTTTTGGACAACATACCAACACATCTTAAGATGGGCCCCACCCAAGTGCAACAAGTCTGGACAAGGTGGCCGGGGGAGAAAGGACTATGCAAATCCTGATTCCAGTATAGATAATGCCATCATTAGCAGATTAGATAATGTAACCAGGGCTTTTCGCAGGAGAAAAGGGAAATTTTAATGGGGACTAATGGGGACAGAATATCAATCTTCTAATATTAGAAAGCCTGTTAACCAAGAAAGAGACAGAGACAGAGAGAGACACACAGAGAGACAGACAGAACTTCTGCTAGGTTACGGAGGGACCCAACCAACTGTGATGGTTGAAAGCATGATGGATGCAAATCTGAACTCATTTGCTTACTAACAATTGACCTTCTACTGCAACAGGACACTGTTCTCTTTCGTCAGTGCCTTTCCCAGCGGTGTGGACTCCGGGGAGAGCCTGGGCTGGCAGAGGCTGTGCAGGACCCGCGGCGCTGTCCGCTGGGCTCTGAGACCTAGTCCAGCTCAGAAAGTCAGCAACGGCAAACCAGAGAGACGCTCAGTCTGTGCACCTTGAATGAACTGATTGGACTTTACATTTGTGCCTAAATAGAAACACGTAAGTGTTGGGCTAAATAGAAACATGTAAGTGATTAAAATCCAAAATAAAACTTTAGGTATTTCCTGAAAAACAGAAGTGCTTCTCATTAAAGTTCAAAGAATAATTTAAAAGCAAGACTCAGAACCAAAATGCAGACACAACCAAAGTGCCCGTTGACAGATGAATGAATAAACAAAACGTAGTGTGTATATTCATATAGTAGGCATTATTTATCCCTCAAAAGGAAGGAAATTTGGGGGGGGATGGGTATAATTCAGTGGTAGACTGTGTGCTTAGCATGCACGAGGTCCTTGGTTCAATCCCCAGTACCGCCAATCAAAAAAATTAAACTAAAATGCAGGGGAGGGTATAGCTCAGTGGCAGAGTGCATGCCTAGCATGCAGGAGGTCCTGGGTTCTATCCTGGGTACCTCCACCAAAAGTAATAAATAGATAAACCTAATTTCCTGCCCCCACAAAGAAAGGAAATTTTGATGCAGGCTAGCACACGAATAAGCCTTGAAAACTTCATGCTTAGTGAATAAGCCAGACACAAATGGACAAATATTAGACAATTCCAGGTCTATGAGGTCCCTAGAGAAGTCAAATTTATAGGCAGAAATTAGAAGACTGGGGGAGGTGGATAGTAGTGAGTGTTTAATGGGGACAGAGTTTTAGTCTGGGAAGATGAAATGTGTTCTGGAGATGGATAGTGGTGATGGTTGCACAACAATGTAAATGCTTGATGCCACTCAATTGTACCCTGAGAAGGGGCAAATTTTATGTACGGTACATTTTATCACAAGAAAGAAAGAAAGAGACTCAGACACCCAGTTGAAAAGCAGGATGAGTGGCTAGAAGGGTCAGAAGCAGCCCCCCCCGATACTGTGTGACCCTGAGTTGGCCAGTTTCTTTTCTGCACCTGTACTCCTGTGTATTTCCTACCCTACCAGAAAATAATATAACCTGTCTTGAATTGGAGATTTTTCCATCTAGTCTTTTTGTGCACGTGACATTTTTACGCATAGGACACTCAAGTGGTAGTGAAATTTCTGGGCCAAGAGTGATACACATTCTCAAAATTTTGATAGAGTTTCTTCACTGGACTCGAGGGGCAGGCTTTGGGCAATCCAGAGACTCTGTGAAATTGTAGACACCCTTTGAAGTGTATAAGCCCATGGACAGTTGTCTCTGATTTTAGGTTGTCAAAATGTCTCCTGGACTTTCAGGTATCCGAGGGTAGAGGACCTGTATTCTCCCACAACAGAATCCTGAACACAGCATCAGTTAACATTGAGCAGAAGAGCTTGGCCAGATTGAGTTTTTTTTTTAAGTAATTTTTAATCTGACGAGTCAATGTACCCGGGATCGATGTTTCTCTGTACATAGTTATCTCACTCTTATGAGGTTTCACTGTTTCTCCTTACCCTAAATTTCCCTGTCCCTCTCCTAAGAATGGGATGAAGGGAGGGAGTCCACCATGGAGAGAACCACCCTGTTGGGAAGAGGTAAAAAGTGATCTGGGCACCTTGAGGATGCTTTTGGGGGGTGGTCAGAGGTGAGGTCAGTGGCAGGAGATATCATTTATTCCCAGTCTCCAGGACAAGTGGTCTGGCAGTTATACGTGTTTTCCTTCAAACGGGTTGCCAGGTTGGAATGACCGATGACGTCAGAGGCTTCCAACCTTCCTGATTGGATGGACCAGACTCCGTGGTGCTGGGCAGCGGAAGTGGACAACAGCATCTGCCCAGAGCTCCTCCCCACTACCAGTTCCTCCTTGGCCTGGAGAAGGCATAACACGCTTGCGTTTAGCCAGAATCCAGAAGAAGCTTCTGGACAGAACAGAGTCTAGGTTTCGTGGAATAGAAGAACTGGGGAGAAATCATGGCCAACTGTCAACCGAGTTCCCAATTTGAGGACCAGAGCCCCCAGCCCAGCTCCTCAGGGCACCCCTTGGAGGTGACTGTCAATGAAGAAAGCCCAGGACCGTCGTCAGGTGAGGGAGCTGGAAATCTGAGAGGGCTGACCAGTAAGGAGGAAAGGGTACAGAAGTTGGGAGGGAGGACCCACGGAGGTGTGTGTGAAAGAGGGATTCAGACAGCCAGGGATCAAGGAGAGTATGGCACTGGGGACATGGAAAATCTGGGAAGCATGGAGAGAGGGTTAGGAGGTGAGATCCAAGGGTAGGAGAAAGGAGGAGAGGAAACAAGGGGAGATTTCTCTTTTCTTCTTCTTTTTTTTTTTTCCTAGTAGGAGAAAGTAGCTATCATGAGGAAGAGTTTTGAGGTCAGGAAGCTGGAAGAATGGGAAGAGGGGTGGAGGGAGGGGTGGATGGACAGTGACTGAGGAGAAAGATGAAAGATGACTTGGGAAATGGCCAACAGTCTATGAGACTGGAGAGGATGGAGGGAGGGGTGGGCCGGGGAGGTTTGGGTCACCAGTGGCTGAATTCCAAAGACAAAAGCTTCACATTGTAGCCTGTTTTCTTTACCCAGCCCCCTGGGCCAGTTCCTGCCCCCTGCCTCCGTGTCCCGGCTGGAAGAGGAAATGGTCAGTGGCCTTCCAAGAGGAGGTGGAGGACAAGACGGCGGCTGAGGCTGAGGACACCTGGGTCGTGGAGTCGCTCTGCGGGCTCAAGATGAAGTTGAAGAGACACCAGGTGTCTGTGGTGCTGCCTGAACACCATGAGATCTTCAAAAGGATGCTCGGTAGGGACCCCACACCCAACACCCCAGCGCACCCTCCAAGCCTATACTAAAAAAAAACTTCCAATGACTACACTTTTCCAGTTCCAATTCCCTGCTAACTGATGGGCATTTCCGTCCCTGGAGGACTCTGAACCTATCACACCTTGGGGACACTTAAAAATGATACAAGATTAGGTTAGACTTAGAAATGATATGAGATTAGGTTCATTTGATTTCAGCTGTGCCCCTGAGACTCCTTAGTTCTTAATGGTCTTTTGAATCTAAATGCCTTAGAGTGTGTGGGAGAGGGAGGGGGTGAGGGGGAGGGAGGAGGAGGGGGAAGGGGAGGGAGGGGAGGGTGGGGGAGGGGCCAACAAGCCATCTTTGTACCCTGACTTCACTGTCAATTGAGAAACTGACTGTGAGCCCCTGATGGCCTCTGCAGCGGTACATGCACACATGATGAGGGGGCACCACACTCCCAGAGGGGGAGTCACCCCCTCTCCTCACCCAGTGAATGGTCTTCCCTCCCCTCTTCCCATCAGCCTTGCCCTTGGCCAAGTCCCGGAATTTCCCCACGGGAGGCTGGGTCCTCCCTCTCTGCTCTGGAATGCTTCCATGCCAGCACTGTTTCGGCTGTCAACCTAACATATGCTCTCTTTTCACAGAGGATCCCGTCATTAAGAGATTCCTGGCCTGGGACAAAAACTTGAAAGTATCTGACAAGGTAAGACACCTGCTCCAGCCCCCGTCCTGTGGCCAGGGGTGCCTTCTAAACCCACAGCCCCGCGCCCCTCTCCAACCTGATGCCTTGTCAGCACGTTCCTCCGGGCTCTAGGGGTCTTGCAGATCCCCAGGGTTCTGAGCCCCAGGTGTGCCCTTTTGGTGGTTGCCACTAAGCCCCCCCTCCTCTCAGCTCCTGGGGACTCCAAGTCTTGGCTCCAGCTTATCGCCGACCCTCTGGTGCCGGCTGTCCTCAATACACGCCCTCAGACCAACAGAGCCTCCCATCCTGGGAGCATCCAAACTCCGACCTCTGACCTCTCACCCGCCCCAAATAGTCAGGCTCACCCAACAGGGGGTTCTCCTCTCCCTGAGAGCTGCCTCTCTCTCCTTTATCCCACTGTTCTTTTTCTCCCAGGACGTGACCTCTCTTTTCTGTTTTTCCCCTTTTCCCATCAGTATCTCCTGTCGATGGTGATCGCCTATTTTAGCCGTGCTGGCCTCTTCTCCTGGCAGTACCAGAGGATCCATTTCTTCATAGCTCTGTGAGTATTTGACGTTATCCCATCCATCAGTGTTCAGCACCCTGGGAAGGCGGAGGGAGGGAAGGGGAGCTCTTACCTTTAGTCTATTTTGTTGTTAAACCCACTCGTACTGTTTGTGTGAAAACACCCACTTGTGTGTGTGAAATGATAGGATTATTGTGTAGCGGTTTCTTTTTGAATCCAAGTATGTTTTTGTTACTGTTCATCCTAAGAACAAGCAATCGACCATCCCTCCTGTAGGTTAAAAAGCAACACAATGTGAACCCTGCTACTGACACCATCCTGCCCCGAAGCAAACGGGCTGTCCGCTTTCTGTTTCCGATTCCTCTGCTGCACCCCCTCCCGTATCAGTCCCAGGTGTGGTTACCTTCCTCTTCTGTGTTCCCATGACAAATGCCACAACCCAGGCTCTCAGTATATAGCAAAATACTCCCCATGGATGTTTCTTACAAGTCTCTCCTCAAGCCAGTCGGCTTTATTTGCCTGAATATCTGTCCCAAACGCAGGTCTGGGGGTGAAGGATATCTAGCTGAGTGTCAGAGCACATGCCGAGTGGGCATGCGGTCCCTGGTTCAATCCCCAGTCCCTCCATTAAAAATAAACAAACCTAATTACTTCCCTCCCCACCCCCACCCCAAAAAACAACAAAGCACAAGTCTGTCGGCTTCACACAATTTCACTGGCTAATTACCTGCCAACTCAGCCAGAGGGCTCAGTTGGAATTCAACCCTCTACAATCTCCATTATACTTGCTTACTGCCTTGATACTTTATTTCTTTGTTTCAAGGTTCCTTCCAAATACCCTGCCCTCTATTTGTACATTGTGCTTCTGCCCAGATATCCCCCCTACACATTCATCTGAAGAAATGACCTCACCCTTAATGAGGGCTCAAACACCAAACCTTCACGCTATCTTCCCTGATCTCCCTAACTTCTGCATCCCAGGAGCACTTAAGTCAAAATCCCATTATAATGGGATGTTTTGGATTATAGTTATTTATCTCCCCCCTCCCCCTTCCCCAATCCCCTTAGACTAGACGCCTGTGGGAGGCAGGTCTTGTCAAAATATCCATGCATTCCTGAAACACTCAGCACAATTCTCTTCATTTTGGAAACATTGAAGTTACAGTGAGTCTACGAGGTAATCAGTATTGCATTTGGCTATGAGATAAAGTGTCCCTCCCTCCCTCCCTCCATCCATCCATTCACTCATTCATTCAATGAAACCTTGTCAAGTACAGCCTACATGCCAGGGAATATGAGGTGACAGGAAAAGAGATTCAGGAAGTGTTGTTGCCTTAATGCATCAATATGAACCAAGCCCTGTATCTGTCATTGAATAAGAGAGGGATGAACACAAAAATAGATTAGATCAGCTCCTGCCTTCAGGAACTGTACAGGCACCTACAACATAGGGAGACAGGAGTGTGTACATAAAACAAGTCGAAGGGGACAGGGGTTTTGGTTTTTATCTTCATCATCAAGGTGTGAGAGGAACCCTTCGGAAGGTCCTGCTCAGCAGTGGCTCCTTGACGACTGGGTGGGGCTGTCATGGGCCCTGCGTCCTTTCTGGGAAGCTGACCTCAGGTGGCGGTCCCTCCCGTCCTGCTCCTGACCAGCGACTGATGTCTTTCCCCAGGTACCTGGCCAACGACATGGAAGAGGATTATCAGGCCCCGAAACAGTCCATCTTCCCATTCCTCTATGGGAAGAACCGTGCCCAGCGTCCCTCGTTCCACAGGCTGCGCTTCCAGTTCATCCGTTCCATGGGCTGGAAGACCTGGGTCACTCGAGAAGAGTGTGAAAAGGTGGGTGGGCTTTGGGGACTCGGGGGGCCCAGAGACGAGAAGGGGGATTGTGCGGGACTGGAGTTGAGATTTGGGGATGGGAAAGAATTGGGGGCTGGATGAGAGAGGGAGGGGTCTACCTGGAGAGTCAGCATCATTTCAGGAGGCCATTTATCTTTCCAGATCCAGGCTTTTGACCCGGAGCTCTGGGTGTGGGGTCGAGATCGCGCCCTCTTGCCCTAGAGGCCCCAGGACCACGCAAGCCTGAGGTCATCGGCCTGAGGAAAGGTAGGTCTGCGTCCTCACAGGTGTGGACAGAATGATTTGTGGTTTATTTAGGAAATCTGAGGAATCCAATGGCTGGACCCACACAACCTCACGTCACCTTCCGTACCTTCCATGAGGCAGGCCAGCCAGGCACACAGACACGGAGTCAACCCCCAGCTACAAACCGACCACCGCACACAGATACAACCACGCTGAGGCCTGTGGGTGCCCGGCCTCGGGGAACCCAGTTTGTCCCAGAGACATGAGTTTGGCTGAAATCATTTCACCCAAAGTAGTTGAGTGCAAATAAGAGCTTTGATGAAATGTTGATTTTTGTGGATATCTTCCCAATTTTTCCCATCTATGGTGTTTCATGTTTCTCTCTTTTTTTTTAGCATGTTTTTTAATTGAAGTACAGTCAGTTTCAATGTGTCAATTTCTGGTGTACAGCACAGTGTCCCAGTCATGCATATACATACATATATTCATTTTCATATTCTTTTTCATTAAAGATTATTACAAAATATTGAATATAGTTCCCTGTGCTATACAGAATCCAGTTTCTCTTTTTAGTCCCTGTTTGGTCTTACAGCCCTCAGGGGTCCCAACTCCGAGGATTTATCTACAACAAAGTAAACGTCTACCAATAGGATATTAGATAGAACAGCCTACATGTTCAATAATAAAATATAAATTACGACCAGCTGTATTTTCGTCCAAATTCACTTGCCAGTTGCTTATGGCCAGATCACCTGTGAGTCTTTATTCCCCTGACTCACCACTTCCGGACCCATCTCTCCTCTTGTACAATGACACACTTCCCCCTCAAGCTTACAGTCAAGGGAGTTTGTCAGAATGAGTGAAGGTTAAGAAATGATCTTCAGAGTAGCTTATTACGATCAACACATTACAGGTATAGATTGGGCAGAGGATTAAGCAAAGATTTGGTTTAAATCTCATGAACTAGCCGTCTTAGTTCGCTTAGGCTTCTCTAACAAAATACTACATTCTGGGTGGCAGAGCGCATGCTTAGCATGCACGAGGTCCTGGGTTCCATCCCCAGTACCTCCATTAAAAAATAAAATAAATCCTACGGACTGGGTGGCTTTTAAACAGCAGACAACAGTTTCTTTCACAATGGCAACAATCTCATTCAGAGCCTAATCACCTCCCAAACGATGCACCTCCTAATAACATCACCTTAGGGGTTTGGATTTCAGTATATGAATTGTGTTCTGAACACAAACATTCAGACCATAACACTAACCAAATTTAAGACCAAGTATTATGGTCAAACACGAGGAGCCAGGGTGAAGCCAGGGATCCGGTATCGGGTCTCATGGTTCACGATGTTGACTTGTTAGTGATGTTTGTCAGATTTTAAGTGATGCAAAAGGACCAAGGTACAGCAGCATTCTCTACATGCCAGCTCCCTGAGCAGAATTGCCTGGAGTCTCTGCAAAAAAGTAGATTACTGGGCCTGACCTTAGGGGTGTTCAGTGATTTTTGGAGTCAAGGTCACCAAAGTCCAAGAATCACACTTAAAAACAATGGTTCGTGATTGGGGTTTAGAATGGAGAATTTGAAAAAAAAAAAACCTGGAATTATAAGTTGGTCTGAACTCTAGTTAGAATTGACGGAGAATGTGAATAATGTTTATAGCTGTGAATTTGCCTCTTGAAATCTGATATCCTCACTCTTTCTCTTACCTCCAGATCACGGAGCCCAGGGGAGATGGCGGATTTTCAAGAGGAAGTCAATCCAGACCCTAATGACAGCCTTGAGTACGGAGGAGAGAAGCCTCTTGTGCAGATAATCGGGAAGAGCCTGGCATCTTCTAGAATGAACTGAAGAGAGTAATTGAGTCGTGCTCCCGGGAGCTGGGTGTGCTTCTAGGAGTCTGTGGCGGGACGAAAAGAAATCAGGGTTTTTTCAGGTTCCATCCTTTCCTAAGGCACACCCCAATGTTCAAATCGTTTAATTCAAATCTCCCCGTGATAGACGTTGGAGGTCCCGTGTTTTTTAATATACTTGGTTGCCCCAGCCTAGAACTATTTGAAGGAGAAGTGTAGGGGCTCAGAATAGGAGAGAAATACTTTGAAATATAAAATTAGAGCCATAGGATTGTGCCATAGTTTTCACTGGCTTATTTTGAAAATATTGTCCACAAAGTATTATATTTACTTTTGTATTTATGTATTTATTTTAGATCATTTTGAAATAGTCATCGGTTTGAAAACACATGTTCCTACAAAGTTTTCTGATGAGTATTATAGTTATATATATGTAAATACAATTTTGTTTACAATTTTCGAGAGGTTTTTGTATTTTTATCTATTATGCTTGTATAATATAGCCATTCTACTTATAGCTAGCTGAATAATTCCTCCTCCAATTCTCATAAACATTAATTTTTATTCTTTAGTCCTCATTATTGAATTGTGGGAACTCATTTGTAATTTTTTAACTTGTCTCGACATGTTTGTATGTCATTTTAGATTATTATGGAAGACAGTGCAATGCAGCTTTGGGGGAAATATAATAAAGACAAACATCTTCTCACATTCATGACGTGTGTGGTCATTACCAGCCTGGTTTGTCGGTTTCCTGTGAAATGAGAGATTGTTTAACAGGGTTGTGATTATCCAACCATATTTCTTAACTCTGAAAAATAATCCTGAATTATTTTTGGTATAGAAAACTGTTTCATGGCCAATAGTCCACTGTTGATATAGATGTAGATATACACACCACATCTTCTTTATCCATTCCTCTAGGGATGGACACTTAGGTTGCTTCCATCTATTGGCTATCAAAAATAATGCTGCAGTGAACACAGGGGTGCAGATATCTTTTTGAATTGTGTTTTTGTTTTCTTCAATCAAAATACCCAGAAGTGGAATTGCTGGATCCTATGATAGTTCTACTTTAAAATTTTTGAGGAATGAAGTGTGCTCCTTTTGACACGAAGTTTACCTGGTGCTGTTAGGTGAATCCATCCAGGATCTCTGTGAAGACCTCCCGAACTGTTATAAAAGTAAGCTCATGACTCTTATACAGATATAACAATGAGCACATTTGAAGTATTTTATTTGATTCAAGAAGGAATCTGAGAAACAGACACATTATATATTAAAATTAATATGTAAAAAAATGAAGGCAAAACTTGATTCCTCCTGGGTGGAGGGTTGGGGATTCAACTGAACTTTCAAACAAGTGGACAGAATTTGCATGTTACCTACAACTTTCAAAGAGGTGAACAGTAAGCTCAAAGACAAAGAAAGAGCTCAAACCAATGCAGAGTAATGTTCCCCAAAGACTACTTAGTTTTCCATTGAAACACACAGTTCTATTTTTTTCAAAAAGGGAATTGAACATTTTTATTTTAATGTTTTTGTCTCATTCCTTTTCAGGTGAAGTTATCCTACTAAAGTAACTTTTTTTTTGGCAGTCAAGTGCAATCTTATTTTATTTTTAAAATTTATTTATTTATATTAAATTTTAATTTTATTTTTATTGACGTGTAATTTCCAACATTAGTTTCCCAAATGAGCAAAGTGATTCAGTTATACATATACATACATATGTATTTTTTCAGACTTTTCTCCATTATATGCTAGTACAAGAAATTGAATATAGTTCCCTGTGCTATACAATAGGTCCTATTGTTTATCTGTTTTATGCATAGTAATGTGTATCTGTTAATCCCAAACTCCTAATTTATCTCTCTCCTGCTCTTTCCCCTTTGGTAACCATAGTTTGTTTTCTATGTCAATGAGTCTGTTTTGTTTTGTAAATAGATTTGTGTATACATATATATATATATATATTTTAGATTCCACATATAAGTGATATCAAATGATATTTGTCTTTCTCTGACCTACTTCATTCAGAATGATGATCTCATAATGTTGCTGCAAATGGCATTATTTCATTCTTTTTATGACTGAGTAATATTCCATTGTATAAAGAAATGAAACACGTGATTCTTTTTTCCACACACATCATCCTCTTCAGTAGATAAAATCATGGATAATTTTCTCCTTTCAATTCTGTATTTTATGATTTTTCTACAGGTGCCACGAATTAAAAGTTGTTTGGAAAAGCTAGGTATCTTTTTCACTATAAGTGGGGAGGAAGGTATGGGAGGCTAATACTCTATCATGATATTGCTATGCTCTATTTACTAATATTTTAATTAAATATCTCTTATGATCATAAGCGAACATGAAAAACCCCTTCCACAGTTGTCTGTAGACACTAATTCTACTCCTTAAACACTAAGGATGAGGAAACATCTAGGGCACCAGGACACAGCCAGGCAAGACGCTTCGAGACTTTACTGACGTTCCCTTAAATTAAGGGAAATTGAGTCCCGGTCGGCTCAGCGCCTCTCCGCGGCAAGATGAGGTGGAGACATTTAAGACGGTCCCTAACTTGACGGCGCGGAGACTTATGGGAAATAGAGTCCTCGTACTTGTCCGGCTCCCCAGGGTGGACCGGGGGAGGCGGACTTCCGGCGTCCCCCTGCGCTTGCGCACCTCTGCCTGTCTGCGTGTTCGCGCACGCGCACGCGCACCGATGCCGCGGTTCTCCCGCTTCCTGTCTGTACCCAGGTCGCTTCTCGTCCTCGTTCTCAGTCTTTGGCCTCCCGCAGGCAACGGTTCAGGGGCCTGCGGGGGTGGACGCTGGCCGACACCCAGCTGGCGCAGACTGTGCGGAGGCTCGAGCGGGGACCTCTGAGCGCGAGCCGCGGAGCCTGCGGCCTGAGCCAGAGGGGTGGAACGGGCGGCGGCGCAGGGGCGGCGGGACCCGGGCCCGACCGTCTGCAGCGCGCAGGACTGGGAGCCTCTGGGAGGGACGTTCCCCTGAAGGGATTTTGTTCCGTAGGCCCAGAGCCAGCTCCTCGGGACCAGCGGCCTCGGGAAGCGGAGAGGAGAGATTCTGGGAGACGAGCAAGCGGGAGAAGCAGCCCTCGGCCCGGAGCCTCGGAAGCCTGAGGCCAGTCAGCGGGCCCCGGCGGGGTAGGTGGTGCGTCTGCGGGCATCCAGGCAGTTCTCGACCCTGCGGCCCGCTGAGAGCGGGGCTTGGGGGAGCCAGCCCGGGCCGAGGACACGAGAGAGCGACAGGGAGGGTTTGTCCGCGTCCCGGAGGTGGAGGGGCTGGGCTGCAGGGCCGCGGAGGCTGCTCCTGGATGGGCGCCCACTGGGACTTGTGAGTTCTGGGTGTCCTGGGGGAGTAGGGGCGGCCGGCTGGGCTGTGGACATTCCGCATCCACTCCTCCCTCCACACCCGACACCCCTCCTCCTGTCGCCGCCTCGAGATGGCGAGCGTGTCTCTAAAGTTGCATTAGCACCTTGGTTCTCGAATCTGAATGTGTGCTGAGCCCTCCTCGGGTGTGCCCTGCGGAATCACTCAGTGGAGTGTAGGATAAGTCTGCGAGGCTTCTGTGCTGCTGCCTCGGTTGAGGGAGGAAGAGATTGGGCCTGAGAAGGGAGGTGACGTGCCTAGGTCACCGAGTGTGTAGGTGGGATTGCTGACAGGACCCAAACTCCCAGGTCAGTGTTCTGTCCACT